TATTGTTATGTTAATCACCATACATTACATCATTAGTTTTTGATGTAGTGTTCCATGATTCATTGTTTGTGCATAACACCCAGTGCTCCACTCAGAATGTGCCCTCTTTAATACCCATCACCAGGCTAACCCATCCCCCTACCCCACATATATTTTCTTAATGAGAATATCATTCCTATCATTTAGTTACTATCATTTCCACTTTACAGATAAAAAGATTAAAGTTTAGAAAATTAGGGTAATGACTCTATAGACCTTTCTAAGACTCATATACAATTTAACTAAATACAACTCTGAGCAATAGCAGTTGTGAAACATCACCAAGAAGAGACTCAGAATCCAGTTTCAACACAATTGAGCCTTTTCCCATTAATCATCTCTCAGTATCCTATAGGTTGTTATGCTACAGCTTTACACCTTACACGATAGATACATTCTTTTTTTATTGTACTTTTTATTGTTATGTTAATCACCATACATTACATCATTAGTTTTTGATGTAGTGTTCCATGATTCATTGTTTGTGCATAACACCCAGTGCTCCACGCAGAACGTGCCCTCTTTAATACCCATTACCGGGCTAACCCATCCCCCCACCCCTCTCCCCTCTAGAATCCTCAGTTTGTTTTTCAGAGTCCATCATCTCTCATGGTTCATACGATAGATACATTCTTAAAGTTGTTGTTAATCAGACCGTATCTTAAATGTATTAGAGGAATATAGTATTCTGCATTCTTATATTCTAAAAGCATATTGCACAATTTCAGATCTTTCAAGATTTTCTCTGATCAGGTCTCCTTATGGTGGGAAACATTGGCACTCCATCACAGCCACTGGCCAAAGCCAGTGAAAAGTTACTTTAAGTGACGTTGGATCCATTATTATTCAGAAGGAGGCATATTTCCCAAATCACAGGTATTATATCTTACATGTGTATGATTTTTTTTGGTCCTTTTCCATAGTCTTATCTATAATCTAAAGTCATTCTCCAAATTATCCAACAAAACAAGAAATAAAAATTATATTGTCCCCCATTGTACAGAAAGGAAGCAAGACACAGGCCAGGGGCTAGACCAAAGCTGGACAATCTCTGAACACAATCAAAAGTCATCTGAAGAAAATATCAACTCCATTTCCACAGCTCAGAAGTCACGGCTGCTTCTGCATGTCTGTGGAAGTCCTCAGCGAGTGAGACACAGACTTGAACACTGAAAGCTCCTTCATGAAGGGATCCACTTGACATTCTAGTGGAAAATGACCATACTTTAAATGTTACCCAATAATCACATTTACCAT